CTCTTCCGATCTCCCCAAAACCCCAAAACCCCAAATTCATGATATAGATCTTATTAGAGATGAAAATAAAAAATAGTAAAATAAATCTGAAAGTTTATAATAATCATTATCGGAGAAAATGATTTAAAAAATCACAGACATGAATGATCTCAAGTTAACATAACTAAATTCTCGAGGTCAAGTAATAAAAGCAGAGGACATAACCTTGAAATTCAAAGATATGGAAGAGGTGTCAACGCAAGCTTGAAAAATCTATTAAAAATCAGCAACCCTGGAAATGGATGAAAAAAAGGGTTCTAAAATTATAGAAAATTTTGTTTCCGAGGGCTATAATACTAGTTAGAAATAAGGATAAGCGAATAAAGACTTATTAGATGCTTAAAAGAAAAAGTATTTGATCGTGGCACCACTTAAAGATTCATCTTTTAACTCTAGTCTCAAATCTAAAAAGGATATTGTAAAGTTTCTTAGGAGATAGTTATCGCTTAACACAGAGTAGAAAGAACAAGATAAGTAATCAGATGAGTAATTAAAAAAAGATGGTGATAATGATTCTTTTAGCATTGAAAATTCTGTTGTTTCCTTGCAAATCGATGACGATATGCCTAGGTCTAAGTAAGCCTAAAAATATGGATACCAAGCCTGAACATCCTAGCCCATTTAATCGCATGAATCATAGTAAGAGTGGTATGTAGAAGATGATGAAAAGACTATAAAATCCAAAGAGCTAAAGATCAAACAGCTAAGCGATGTTAAAATCACATCTCCAAATGTCAGGTTTCTTCTACAGTAGCTACAGCCTCTAAAAGTTGGAACGAAATCTAAAAATATCAACATTGAGTTTCAAACTACAAACAGCGATGATGAAGGTACTTTGTTGAGAAGGTCTAAGTATGTATCCCAGCAAAGTGCTCCCCTTCCTGCTAATTATTCTCTTGGAATGGTATAATCTCAAAGTACTCCTCGAGAATATGACACCAATCTTTAAAAAATAAAGAAGAGCTCTAGGCTTCCTAGACTAACCTAGAATAATTTTAGAGATCAATACCGAAGAGCGGCTACAATAAAACTTGAAGATATAAATGAAGACTTAGACAGTGTTTAAGAATCGCAGGAGAGTGAAAAGATGATAAAACCAGCAGCACAAGAAATTCAAGGAGTGTAGAAGACAGAGGCTTAGCAGAGATGGGTAAAACTTTCTAATTTGTTCAGGACTATTAATCTTCTTAAGAACTAAGAAACAGTAAAACTTGAAAAAGCTGTAAGAAATATTTTCTAGTTTAATAGTTAATAATCAATTATAGAGTGATATTGTTTCAGAAATCAGAAGATATCCAAAAAAATTAGAGAAAAGAGAACACAGAGGATTTTTCGGAGGATTTGGAAACGACTCATTTTAATAGAGCAGAAAAGAGAACAGATTTTTCAATGCGATTTGCCAGTATATATTTATTATAAAGTAACTAGATTATTAGTGGAGGGACATCAGCTCTTGAAAAGATTCAGAATTATTTAGACAATGACCCTAAACAGCACATGTATGAAAAAACAAATCCCAATCACACCATTAATCGACCTAATACTTTTGGGTTAAGGCCTTTATACCTTGGATGTATGAATGGGCATTTAGATGTAACTTAAACTTATTTATGTTTCTATAAGGTAGTTCAGCTTTTGATAAAAAATGGAGCTGATGTCTATTTATAATCAGTAATTAATCTAGATTCTTTGAAGGAGGAGTCTAATCTAAGAATCGCTTGTAGATGGTATACTTAATTTAAAACAACTTACAAACATTAGGAACCACATAAATATTGTCAGTTATCTGCTTAATAACTTTGAATGGTCGAAAACTGAGTTGAAGGAATGCATATAACTCACTGAGAAGAGCTCAGCAATCCGAAAATTACTTACTTATCATGTAAAAAGTAAATATGGTACTTGCAGCACATTCTGTTGCTTAATCGTCTTTTGATTCTATATCATAAATAATATCTTTTCAAATTTAACGCATAATTTCATGACTTAATTTCATAAACTTGATGTATATCAAATCGTTAAAATGTCTTAAGACGGGGTTTTGGGGTTTTGGGGTTTTGGGG